TTCGCAGGGCCGTGTCGCCAACTTTATTGCAAGTGTAATAGAAATCGAAGAGCACCCGGAATAATGTTATCGAGAATGTTTTTTATTTTACAAATGATCGAATTCTTAAAATGTTTCTACGTTTGCAACACACGGTATTGCGAACTATATCAACCCCTCGCCCTGTGATTCTTCAGGTGCGTCAGTGGAAATCCACAAATTACAGTTACAATATTAAAACAGAGACACAAAATTGAAATGTTATCACAATTGTATATTTAGCAATCCTTGACTATGTAAATTATAATTGAACATATTCGAAATTTAACTGTATCAACCCCTTGCCTTATGACGTATCAGGTGCGTCAGTCAAAATTCACTAATTACATCTACAATATTAACACAGAGAGACAAAATTGAAATGTCATGACAATTGTATATTCTGCAATCCTTGACTATGCAAATTATAATTGAACATATTCGAAATTTAACTACATCAACCCCTTGCCTTATGACGTGTCAGGTGCGTCAGTCAAAACTCATTAATCACAGTTACAATATTAAAACAGAGAACAAAAATTAAAATATTAAGCCAATTTTGTATCCAGTAATCGACTATGCAAATTATAATTGGACAAATTCCAAATTGAAGCGTATTAAAAATTCAAGTAAGATGTGTCACAGTTGCAATGAGGGTGCGTCACGTCTGAGAGACATTGTAAGGCGAAGTACGTTGTACAATACAACAAATATTGTCAGTACGATAAATATACGACATTGTCATGAACGAAACTGATTAATATACTTTTAACAATATTAATAATTACGTATATTGATGTAGGATAACATTGGATGAATTAACCGAAAAATTATTGAGATATATACGGATGTAATTGATATCATGTCAAAGCAACCTTGTCATGAAAAACACTGTTTAGCAATATAATTTCAACGGCGCTAATAGTTGACGAATACTAATAGCATTTATCAGTCAATTTATAATGTATATTTATTGATGAATTAACCAATCCGAATGAGATTTATAATGGTAGAAATGTGAGTGCCTCACATCAAAATAAAGCGAAGGAATGAAAGATATTTTTCCACGATGTAGTATTTATTTTAACATTTTAATCTTAAAATCTTTAAATTTTATCTCCAATGGACAAAAATATGGAATAACTCCGACCAAAGCCTTTACTTCGCAAAAGTACGTAGAGAATACCCTACAGTACCTGAAAGAAATCAATTTATACCATACTATATAGTCCAATAAAGTGTAGGAAATAGAAACCAGTCGTCGCTAATGACCTGAAGGTAAATGCGACTTAAAACCTGGATTAAAAAAAATAAAATAAAATTGCAATTGTTTCGAATGGAAGATATGCGTGGGTACGATATAAGCACGAGACAATTAATTATCAAAAGATCGAGTAAAATTTCATAGAAATCAGCAAGTCGATTTCAGCGAAACGGGAGACAGTGACAAAGACGGAAGAATGTGTAACCGAGTGCACATTCCCCGGCGATATGCAGTCGTATGCAACGCGATGCACCGGCTGCACGTGAATCAAACGCTGCAAACTCGCGGAAGTGGCTGGTTCGCCCGCGTGCCCGCGCGCCCCGCAAGTTACATAATATTTTGTCGGGGCATTTAAATTCTTAACGCACCGTACCCACCGGACACGTGCTAATACGTCCTTCATTAACCCTCCGTTCGTACAATTTTCAACAGTGCGTTGCGTGAACCCTATTCTTGTATTAATCTGAATTTTTCGGATATAACAAAAGTATTAAATGCACATTTCTAAATAAACCCTTTGCCTTATAATAGCGTGTCACTTGTGACGAAAGTAAGTACATATACATGATAAACGAGACTCATGTTTTCATCCTAATTGAATTTTGCGTTCCCTTTTAATTACAATCTTCACAATCAAGGTTTGTATCTAACTTTTTAATTTTCTTTATTTGTCTTCATGTTGCAGTAATAATTGGTTATTTTTACATGACAACTACTTAGAAAATTGTTGAGGGGTTAACACTTCGTCAGAATATACACTACGACGTTTAAGACAGACATTAAAAATTCTTACAAAGCTATTTTAAGTATTGGCTTTCTATTAATTGCAACTCCGAATAATTTTTTTATTGTATATTTCTTTCAACAATTTTTAGAATTTTAAGACCGTGTAAAAGTAAATTTCAAATATGAAATTAAATATTTCTTCAATGACATAATAACGTGGAACCATTTGACGCTAGACTGACGAGAACAAAATGGCGGACCTTAGGTTTCTTTAACGGTCACATTCCATGAGAATAACATACCTGGTACCCTAGGGCGTTTAAGATCCTACCCACTAAAAATTCTTACAAGGCTACTCATTATTTTAACTAAAAAAAAATTATAAATGATCTTTGAAAGTTGTTTCAACATATTTCACAGGTGACTTCAGTAAATTTAAACGGTGAGTATGAAAGAAAATTCAGTAACAAGGAAATTTAAAGAATGAAGGTTTTCACAGAAAAATTCTAAACCTTTTACAAGTTTAATATAAGAAAATTTTGATGAATATTCTTGAGATATAACAGTAAAAATACTGGTCTTTCAGAAATAAGAGTTATTGAGATTTTGAGGATAAAAAATCGAAACTGACTGAAATTAAAGCTAAATTGGCTGGGGTTGTTTCATACCTCAATGTTAAGGATTAAAAATAAATAAGCAAATGCTGACACATCAAGTAACAAATACAACAATTTGTCTCCATGAATGACATTTTGTCGAAAATAAAATTTGTTAATATAAAATGTGAAGTCTAAAATCCACATAAAGTAATGTGGACTGACAGTTAATACTAATGATACAATTCTAAACTAATACCAATAATTCCTATCATATAAACAACTTAAATAAAAGAGTTACAATGTTACGTTATTAAAAACTAGTATAAATTTTCATAGAAAAGCGCGGAAAATAAAAAAACACCGAAACTAAACTGCTATAATCGAAACGTCTAAATGTAAAGACGTTATCAAAAAGGAATTCTATCCCGAGCAAAAAAAGCTCGAAATTTTTGAACTTGGTGTGAAGAGAGGCGGCGCTTCCGCTCCGTCAAACGATAATCGTCCGATTTTGAAAAAGAAGAATAAGAAAAGCCTGATTCACGACGTCTTATCGTAGCTCGTTAAGCTTCCACGAGATTAAATTATCGAGGCTGCGTCTGTAGCCGTCTCTAAATATAATAAATCGTCGATCAGCAGCGGTTGATCGAGTGAATGACCAGCTCGGAACAGGGTGGCCCGACTTTCCTTCTCTGATGATTTGTCTGGCATACCTTATCTTATTAATGAATGTCCCGTTCTACGTCAAAGACCAACAATTTAAAACTCCCTTTTGTGTCAAACGAAAAAACTCTGGGTTTCATTTATTGTATTACAAAATGGTTGCTTTCTGAAATAGCTGTTGGGTACAACTGCTCACAGTTTCTTTTTAAAAATATAAATCATGAAAGTATAAAGTGTATTGAGAAATTACTTATGTTCTAACGTTTCATAAATCGACGTTAAGCACATAAATAATAACCCTTTCATACAACTAGTAAGCTTCATAGCTCTGTAATTCTCTTATGAAAGTTCCACTTAGACTTAAATAAAAAGAAAAATAAAGTCACTTGATGGAATCGTTTTTTCTTGTATTTAAGATTATAATATTTAAAATATGCATTGATTCTAGACTCAAAAGAAATTTTCTCATCCCCTAAAAATTTAGTATACATATTGTGTAAAAGAATCTAATCTAAACTGATCTGGAAAAGACTATTTTTACAAAAATATGAACAAAAACATTTTTGCAAGAGATACATTTACAAGCAACAGAAAAATTAATATTGCAATTAAATTAATATTTCATTAAATTAAAAATTAATATTAATATTGAAATTAATGTTGCTTGTTAAACTATTATTTTATTAAATGAAAAATTAATATTAAAATTAATATTGCTTATTAAATTACTATTTTGTTAAATGAAAAATTAATATTAAAATTAATGTTACTTATTAAATTACTATTTTATTAAATGAAAAATTAATGTTACAATTAATATTGCTTATTAAATTACTATTTTGTTAAATGAAAAATTAATATTAAAATTAATGTTACTTATTAAATTACTATTTTGTTAAATGAAAAATTAATTTTGTTTATAAAATACGCATACCAGAGAATAATCTGCAATATTCTTGAATTTAAAAAGAATTGTAATTTTAACGAAAAAGGAACATTGTCCCCTTCTGATTAAATATTTGTTTAAGCAATGACGCTGAAAATTAACAGGTATAATAATGCAACATTGTGGTGCAGAGAAGATTAGTATGTAAATAATTAACGACGTAATTAACACGATTCGTTGGTCAACTATCGAGCGGGATCTTCTGCAGTCGCGATTTAAATGTTAGACGGGGTTCAATTAAAATTCAACGGGAATTCTTTTTTATGGCCATTATGTATACGTGCGATCTGTGGATCTTGTTGTAAGGGATCCAAGCGTGAACACCTTAATTGGCACGTACAGAATAACTTTCTGATTAAACGTGTATCATGAAAAATTCATACTGTAGTTGAAAGACTCGCGAAATTGTGTTGTAGACTCTTAATGGGTGCACAACGATTTTCACGGTTTCATTTTTGAGGTAGTTAAAAATATCCATTGTTTCTTTCTTTATTACATTGTTTCTTATATCGTGATTCGGTGTTTCAATAATGTTATGTGGCTTTAAATCAGGGATGTAATTCGAATATACGAAATTGGTTTATTGTTTTTTACAATTATATTCTAAATGTATTTGAACTTTTAATACATTTGGAATTTTGGAAAGTGACAACTTACATTTTTGCTTTCAGTATCTGAAATTGTTAGTTATTTATGATGATATCAAAAACTAATATTTCTAATATATTTCAGCAATTTTTTAATTTGAACAATTTTCAAATATTTTCCTTAACATTTTTATGTGCGTTCTCACTTTTGGTAATTAAAGTTATTAGTTGCTATTTGCAAACATATTCTAAATTAATTTATACTATAAACATGTATTTTTAGATTTTGAAAATAACAAACAACTTATATTTTCGTGTTTGGTATCTGAAATTGTTAGTTCTTTATGAAGGTGTTAGAAACTCATGTCCCTAATATATTTTCGTCAATCTTGAAAATAACAAATGATTCACAGCTTCACTTCTGTTACGTTAAGTCACCAGCTGTTCTTCAGAGCTGCATCTGAAATAAATAACTACTTTTAATTTCATTACTTCTAAAAATATCAAGTCTATCTTCTTACTGATTGTATTTAAAGTATGCTACAATTAAACCATAAATAAATTTACGCTTTTAATATCCGCAGTTGCTTGTTTTCAGCAACCTAACCTAACCTTCAAACCTGACTTTCTAATAACCGTATCTCACTTAACGACTTTTCAACGAGAAATTCTTAGTTCTCTATGATGATGTCAGAAGATGTTCGTAATATATTTTTCTCAATCTTGAAATTAACAAATAGTTCACATTTTCAGTTATGACGTATAAAGTCACTAGCAGTTCTTCAAAGCAGTATCTGAAATAAATTGCTACCTTAAATTTTCAATTTGAAAATACCAACAACTACTTATCGTATCTAAAATATATTACAATTAAATCTGAAATGTTACGCTTTCAATATCCGCAGTTTTCATCAACATAACCTAAATTAAATTCGGAACACACTAAATGATTTTTTAACGAGAATTCTATAGAATCACAATTTGTTGGCAATTTGCCAACGTTAAGGTACACCGTTGAAAAAAATTCACTTTCGCAAGGACGATGATTATCGAGCTGCGAGCACCGCGGCTCGAACAATGAAAGCTCGTGTTGTGAGAGAACGAGTTGTAAAAATGAGACTCCTTCGCTCAGGGGTAGCCATATGGCGTGAATTTGATTAATTGCATACGCAGTGTGCTGGAACCTCGCGTTCATTTGCAACGATATAGAGCACCGGAACGTTATTATTCCAGAGACGAATAGCTTTGATGGTCGATGCTTTGGCGACCAGCCGCGTTATTTAATAATCAGAGATCGCATACGATTGTTTAGCAACAAAAATTCCTCAAAATTATCTGTTAGGTCCGTTACACTGTTTAATTGACACGTTAATTATTATTTGGAAGCGGTGATTTACGTTTAATTTAATTAAATTAAAGGAGAAGGATTTTTATTTTGGCCTTTCAATTAGCGATCCTTTTATGAGGCGCATTTAAAGTACGAGAACCACAAAATTATAGGGTTTGGACTGTTAATTCTTTGAGGTTAGGTCTTTCATATAAGGTGGAATGTATTTTAACCCACTTCGAAAAGTGGACGTTGCTTTTTATATTAAATAATTTAAATATACGTTTTTTATGTTTATATTAAAAAAAAAATCTGTGCAAATTTTTATTTTCTTTAAAATTATGTGCTTTATGGAATTAATTTTTTGATAATAAGGTTTCTTTATTAATAACAGAGAATAAAATAATTACGCCATTTTCACATCTGCAGATCAGCAAATTTGTAAATTTAGAAATTCTTCAAATTCAAAATTTATAATTTTGAAAATTTGTAAATTAAAAAGTTTCAAAGTTTGAAACCTGTAATTTCCAAAATCATTAAACATAAAATTTTTTAAATCTGTAAATACCTTAATTAATAAATTTTTAATTTTTTAAATGTAGCTTTACTTTAAAATTTTTTAATCCTACAAAAAAAGTCTTAAATGCAGAAATTTAACTAAAAATCTCTGTTAATCTCACTCTCATTTAAAGCAAGATTTAATTACATAATTCAAGCACAGAGAGGAGGAGACTTCCGTGAAATTCTAAAAATAGTACAAAATCTACATTGAAGGAAATAACGAGTTTAAAAGGCGTCCAGGAGAAACAGGAAGTTTTAAAGCAAGAAATTTAAGGTGATAAATATTACATACATGTTTGACACAAAACTAGTTCAGCGTTTTTTATTTTTCTATTCCGTACGCGAGACGAAAAATATAACACAAATCTTAGGAAATAGAAATCTTGCATGTCAGATAAGTTCCCTGAAGCAAAGAACCTGGAACGAGGAACTTTGAATATATTAAATTCTAAGTTATTCGAGATTCCTTAGAGTAAAGGAACTTAAAGCGAGGAATTTAAAACAAGTTTCCACGAATAAGAACCTTGACCATGAAACTTAGAACGAGTTCTTTGAGATAAGAAATCTGGAATAAGAAGAACGACAAGAAGACGTTTTAAAGCAAATTTCTTCGATCATTTATTAAATTCGATCCAATTTCCATGCTTCGATAATTTTAAACATTCCATTCTCTTAATCTGGATTAATGACAAGTTGTTTCATTACGGTATACATAGATACTAATCGACGGATCATATCGAACATAATATCTTCTGAGTCTTAATTAGATGATATATTATTCATTATCATTATCTTTACTCTTACTTTATTTTATTATTTAATATGTAATTTATCTATTTACACATGACTGTATTAATAGTGTAGCACATTAACCTATTAACATATTAACATATTGTAGCATATTAGCAAATTAATAAATTAACATATTGTAGCATATTAGCAAATTAACATATTAACATATTGACATATTAATATATTAACATATTGACATATTGACATATTAACATATTGACATATTGACATATTGACATATTGACATATTAAGATATTGACATATTGACATATTGACATATTGACATATTAACATATTGACATATTGACATATTGACATATTGACATATTGACATATTGACATATTGACATATTGACATATTGACATATTGACATATTGACATATTGACATATTGACATATTGACATATTGACATATTGACATATTGACATATTGACATATTGACATATTGACATATTGACATATTGACATATTGACATATTGACATATTGACATATTGACATATTGACATATTGACATATTGACATATTGACATATTGACATATTGACATATTGACATATTGACATATTGACATATTAACATATTGACATATTAATATATTAACATATTGACATATTGACATATTAACGTATTAACATATTAACACGCCCTGAGATTATCATACAGTCCTAGCGCCGCACTATCATACTATCGCCCTATCATAATATCATACTATCATACTGTCATACTACTGTATTATTGTATTAACATATTATTATCGAATATGATAAAAATCAGATATGTTTGAAATAACTATATTACTATATAATAATATTTTTATATTTTCAACAGTTTCCAAGATTGTTTTAATGTAATATGGATCTTAAATGTAATATTTAGTGGAAAAAGTGAATTAATTAAATACTGTTTAGTTTATAATAAAAAATTAGGGACTTTGAGTATTTAGGACTTTGAGAATTTGAGAGTTTGAGAGTTTGAGAGTTTGAGAGTTTGAGAGTTTGAGAATTTGAGAATTTGTGACTCCAAAAATTTGAAAAGTTGAAATTTACCTAATTTTCGAATCTGAAAAGCTTCCAAATTTCAATTTTCCAAAATTTGCAAATTCTTAATCCGCAACTGCCCAAATTTCTACGCCACCAAATTCAACACACCACTAATCCCAGCAAAGTAACCACGCATTGTATGGTAGGTTAAGTGTTAATCGCAAGATGGATGAAAGTTCGTCGTCCAGGATCAGCCAGGTGTTGGCAATCGTGAAGGATCGTACCCTCGCGTTTCCTTTGCTTCATTACGTCGTCGAAGATTATCCAAGCAGGGCCGATTTCGTTAAGGGTGGCTGGCCAGACTGGCTGCGACTTGCACCCTTCGCAAGCTCGTGCCAAGCAGATGTCTTATTGTCATGCTAAGGGTGATCCCTTGTGCGCTATGTGTAACGTCTTTCAGCCCTGTCGCCGTCGGTTTCTTCTTGTTTGAAATTATTTTTTCGGAGGTCAACGGGGAGGAAGGCCGTTCCTAGGGCTAACGTACTCCTGCGAACAAGATTATGCGAGACTACAGTTTACTGTCTTCGTGTTTAATATTTTCTCCTATCAATGTATATCTTTTACATACTCTATACTATATCTTGCACATATATAAATCTGAGTTCAATTTTATGTGTGTCGTATTATCGCTCAAATATTATTTAATATTTCTTCATGAAATTTTTCAAGAAGAGCTGATGATCCAATGAGGAAGAACTGCAGATGGTTTTAAGATTGGTTTCGTGGTTATCAAAGTTGAAGAAGCATTAACCACAATTTTTCGTGCATTTTGATGGCAAAAAATGTCATCGTATTACATCATTATAACGTCATACGTTTGCACATTCTCTGTTATGATAAACGCATAAAGAATATAGTGTATCAGCTCTGCGATACACTATGAAATATAAGTTATTCAACGAGCCAGACTTCAAGAATTAATTGCTTATGAAATTTCGATACTTGTAATATTCTAAATGACACAATAGTTTTTTTAATATTATAATCATTATAAAAAGTAAGTCTGATTATTGATATTATTGATATTACTCTTTTTCAAAGATAAAGCAAGCGAATTTCATGAACATCTTATTCTCTTGTTGAATTTTGCAGATTTGATATTTGATATTTATTTTAACCTTAATATTTATTTTAACCTTGATAGTTATTTATTTTTAACCTTGATAGCTATTTATTTTTAACCTTAATATTTATTTTAACCCTGAGATAATCTAATAGTAATTTGAAAAATATATTAAACGTAAAACTCTACGATATTCTCTACGAAATAATTCTACGATTTTAAATTGTTCAATCATTATATACTGATCAACTTCGCTCAATAAGTGACAAAGTAAAATAACTATTAAATTTTAGTAGAATTTCGTGGTTAAAGAACCAAACATAACGAAAATTAATGGAAACCGAGTCAATTATTCGCATGGTTGACTTCAAGTTAGGGAAAACTAAAATTGAAAATTAAAAGGTCTTTTATTAAATTTTAATGGAGTATTTTTGAATCATTTTGTAGGACATTCTACTTTAGATTATAAGTATCACAAAATTATGATTTACTTAATTGTTACTCAAAACTTACAAAGTACTTACTGTTTTTGATATTACTGACACTTTGAATTCCCACGTTAAATTTGTTAAAAATTGTCATTAATTTTAATGTTATTTTCACCAAACTTGGTCAAAAGTTTACTTGTATCAAACTTAATAGTTAGTTGCTTTTACATTAAAATGTTTACCGACATTATTTATCATTGGATAACTAAACACGTTCTTCATAAAATGAAACGATGTTCTCTATAAAATGAAAACATGCTTTTTACAAAACGAGTGATCCATACAATTTCAAACAGGAAATTATGCGTCACTCAAATATGGCGTATATAGGAGCAATATGTTAACTTACACTTGCTGTTACCTCATCCTTGAAATATACTCTTCCTACAGTTCTAACGACGTGATGAAAGTTACACTTTTTCTAACTTTCACCAAAGTTTTCAAACAATTTTCATAATTGCATGTGCATGATACCTATTTTGTTGATCGACACCGAGCAATGACACGAATCGCACGTAGTGGTTGAACTGAATTAGTAATTCAGGTCACCCAAATAAATTCCAACCATTTCGACTTTCTTGTTAATATTCATAGTTAAACTATTCGTATTAAATCACTTGTTAGAGCGTTCTTAGACATCTTATAAGTTCCCATAGATAATTTTAATAAATCGTGTGTGGTTTGTAGGTTAGATTTCTGTTTTGGAAAACGCGGTAGGGGACAAAAGTAACGTGTTACTATGGGGACGAAAAGAACTGCGAAAACTGCACCAAAGGTGATGTACTATACGTGTCATAACTGTAATTGGAAATAGATAAA